TTTTTTTGGTCAGTTGTGGAGCTTGAACTCTGGGCTTGGGCTCTGTCCCTGCGCTCTTCAGCTCAAGATGAGAGCTCTACCACTTGAGCCACAGCGCCACTTCCAGTTTTCTAGTGGTTTATTGGAGATAAGAGTCTCACGGACTTTCCTGCCCAGGCTGTCTTTGAACAGTGATCCTCAGATCTCAGCCTCCTGAGTAGCTATGATTACAGGCATGAGCCACCAGCACCTGGCTTAATTCAAACTTTAAAAAAAAAATTTTTTTGTCAGCCATTGTGGCTCAGGACGTGGGTGTTGTTCCTGAGCTTTTTCACTTAAGGCTAGTTCTCTACCACTTGAACCATAGCATAACTTCCAGTTTTCTAGTGGTTTATTAGACAATAGTCTCACAGACATTTATGCGTGGGCTGGCTCTGAATTGCAATCCTCAGATCTCAGCCTCCTGGGTAATTAGGAGTACAGGCATGTGCCACCAGCAACCAGGTAATTCAAAGTTTTTTGTCCAGGTTATAGAGCAATGACAAAGAATAACAAACTACTGCTTTCGAGTGTGCACACACACACATACACAGAAGTTCTTAGGAAAGGAAAGTTCCCTAATCAGCCTAAATCACCTATCACCCTGAAGGTCAAATTTGCCACAGGAGCTGAAGGTATAGGGTATTGGGAGCACTTGTTTTCTGGTGGCTTGAAGCCACACAGAGGGCACAATCACTAAATACTCAACAATTCACTAAATACTAACATAAAAAAAGAGCAAAGGGCTGGAGGGGATGACTCATACCCCTAATCCTAGGTACTAAGGAGGCTGAGATCTGAGATTCTTCGTTCAAAGCCAGCCCAAGCAGAAAAGTCTGTAAGATCTTATCTCTATTAAACTACCAAAAAAAAGAGATGGAAATGAAGCTGTGGCTCAAGTGGTAGGGTACTAGCCTTGAACAAAAAGAAGCTTAAGGACAGCATCCAAGCCCTGAGTTCAAGTCCCAGGACAAGCACCAAAAAAAAAAAAAAAAAAAAAAAGAGCAAAGGAAAGGAAGGGAGGAAATAGCCTAACTGAAAAGAGAGAAACAACCCAAAAACCCAAATACCCACTGACTGAGCTGGGAATGTGGGTCAGTGGTAGAGCGCTTGCCTAGCACGCATGAAGTCCTGGGTGGTTTGATTCCTCAGCACCACATAAGCAGAAAAAGCCACAAACACTGTGGCTCAAATGGTAAGAGTTCTTGCCTGGAGGTAAAGAGCTGAGGAACAGCACCCAGGCCCAGAATTCAGACATCATGAGCAACAAAAAATTTAAAAATGAAAACAAAAACATATGTAGGATAAGAGAATCACACCTGAGGGGCTGGAGAATGTGGCTCAGTGGTAGACTGCCTGCCTAGCAGGCACTAGCACTAAGTTCAATTCCTCAGTACCACATAAACAGAAAAAACCAAAAGTGGTGCTATGGCTCAGGTGGTAGAGCACTAGCCCTGAGCAAAAGAAGCTCAGGGATAGTGCCCATGCTCTTAATTCAAGCCCCGGGACTGGCAATAAATAATAAAAAAAAGATAATCATATCTGAAAAAATTTGTCAGTCTATCTGAATCAATTTCTAACAGTAACTTTGATAGGTTATTTGGACTATCATATGGTTTATCTCTTACCTTTAGCCACTTTCTGCTTTTCTTCAACTTGGAAAAGTTATATAAATTCCCCCTGTCAGATTTTGATTCTGTATAGAGAAACATAAAAAAAATTTTTTTTAATAAAATAAAATCATGACTACTCCAAGAGAACTACACACAAAGAGGATACATGGAGACTGGGAAGGTGGCTCAGTGGTAGAGCACTTGCCTTGCATGCAAGAGGCCCTGGGTTTGATTCCTCAGCACAACATAAGCAGAAAAAGCCGGAAGTGGCGCTGTGGCTCAAGTGGTATAGCGCTCACCTTAGCTGAGGAGCTGAGGGACAGCGCCCAGGCTCAGAGTTCAGCCCCCACAACCAACAACAACAAAAAGAGAACATCATACCACCCTGACCTGACTGCAGAACTCCATTAAGTGAGTACGGGGTTAGCATTCCAGAATTGCTTGCTCCAGAAGTTTCACCAAGCAGTGAATTAGGGGGTTCTTCTTTTACTTGTATTAAGGGATCCCCAGACTGGGGCAATAAGGGATTATTGTCATCCAACCCATCTTCACTGTCATCACTATAAATTGAAAGATAATAAGCAAGTAATCAGAAAAGTTAAGGTTAATAGAACTGGACACTCTATATAAAACCAACTGATTATATGAAAAAATTAACTTTTCAATATTAAAAATCATAAAGCAATTATGATCGCAAACAGAAATGTGGTAAGCAAACATGAAATAACATACCTAGAAATATTCCTATTGAAGATGGCGGATGTTTGTCGCAGGAAATGATCCAATCGGAGGGCTCTCTCCAGGTACTGAAGATAGAGGGGCTTTGCCAGCTCAGTGCTGCTGCCATCGTCCCCGGCACCCAACTCCGAGGCCATAGAACAAATCTGTCTTCATGCACAAGCGCCTCCGACTACACGGCTGCAGAATGGAGATAGGTAATTAAAAATAAAAGACAGGAAGTGAAGCTGGTGGTTCACGCCTGTAATCCTAGCTACTCAGGAGGCTGAGATCTGAGGATCACGGTTCAAACCCAGCCAGGGCAGGAGAGTCCGTGAGTTTCTTATCTTCAATAAACCACCAGAAAACTGGAAGTGGAACTGTGGCTCAAGCGGTAGAGCGCTCGTCTTGAGCTGAAGAGCACAGGGACAGCACCCAAGCTCAGAGTTCAAGCCCCACAACAGCCCAAAAAAAAAAAAAAAAGAGCTAGTGTTAGCCTTGAGCAAAAAAGGACAAGAACAGTGCCCAGCCCCCGAGTTCAAACCCAAAGACAGGTACACACAAAAAAAGAAGGAAGGGGGACTTCCGGTGGCTCAGGGGTAGAGTGCTTGCCTTGCATGCATGAGGCCCTGGGTTCAATTCCTCAGCACCACATAAGCACAAAAGGCCGGAAGTGGTGTTATGGCTCAAGTAGTAGAGCGCTTGCCTTGAGCTGAAGAGCTGAGGGACAGCGCCCAGGCCCAGAGTTCAGGCCCCACCACTGACCAAAAAAAAGGAAGGAAGAAGGAAGGAAGGAAGGAAATCAGAGACCAAGATGTAAAACTTCAAGTCCCATGACTGACAAAAATACTTTTTTAAATGTACTCTTTACCTGATTTATGTAACTATAATTTCTCTATACATCACCTTTATAATAACAATAAAGGGGGCTGGGAAGGTGGCTCAGTGGTAGAGCACTTGCCTTGCATGCCTGAGGCTATGGGTTCGATTCTTCAGCACCACATAAGCAAAAAGAAAAAAGCCGAAGTGGCACTGTGGCTCAAGTGGTAGAGTGCTAGCCTTGAGCTGAAGAGCTGAGGGACAGAGCCCAGGCCCAGAGTTC